CTATGCAAACCCTGGTGGGAGTGTATCGACCGGGCCAGTCGAAACGGGAAAGGCATTTGCGCAGAGCCGCATTCTATGCAGCAGACTCAATTAGCATGTCTGACCAACTGGGAAACACCTTTGCAGAGTTCACCTGTCGGGAACTACCCATTCAATGCGCGATGTGCACTTTTGATTGCGCTCAGGTTATCGCTGAGTGGATTACGACGGTCCAGGAACGTGTCGGGCCGTACCTTGGTGTTCTTGGCCGTGACGAAGTGGATCTGGCCCAGGCCGCCAATCTCCTGTTGCTGGAAGATGAAGATTGCAAACTCATTGAGAAGATCAAGGAGATCCTGGGGAACATCGAAAACAAGATGCAGAGAGAGGTGCAAAGCAGCGTCGCCACGTCGGCTCTCAGCGTTCTCCAGCGCCTGCCCAGTGTTGTGGAGGGCGGTTACGGCTGCAAGATTCTGGTTGCTACAGCCAGTCTTCTCGACCGGGCTGCTGTCTGGCCAATGATCAAGATCATGGCTCGATCCCTTGAAGCGCAAGCTCTGCGGCTTAAGGAACGAGCGCACAACTCAACTCTTGGGAGTAACTAGCCTCGATGCCTCTGCCTCGAACTCCTGCGTGCTATGATATTCTTTCTGCTTGCGGACAAATCACCCGACCGACGATGCAGTGCTACCGCTCTGCCATCATTTTATTCCTAAAGTGGTTTTGCTGGACGATATAACCATGAATTGGTGCGTCTTTCGGGCCTTCTGGAAGAACCTTGAAGAGTCCCCCTACAAAAGTTACCCTGTGCCTGGGCTGGTGAGAACCCAGCGATGCTGCCAGACTGGAGGGGCTGGTGCGCTATGCCACCACCACCCTTCGTTACGTTAACGCTATCACGCAAGTGCCCCACTGTGATTTTATATGATTATTTTGTGCGTTCTGTACTCGATATCGAGAGTTGACTTCTATGTATTTGTGAACGAAAGGCTCGATTTACGATGTTTGATTTTTATTTTTTATCGTTGATTTTTGGACAGGCAGGACTTGGCGGGACATGAGAGAGAGAAACTGTGGGCCTAACGACCGAAATGCTGGAATTGTCACGATACCCTGGATCAGCAGTACGATGTGAGACTGACATGACGGGTGGCATACGCCGGACCCTTTTGATAGCTGTGCACATAAATACTTGAGATACAACCTGTACATATGCGAATACAATGTGCGATGATCGGAGATGATCAAAGTGTTTGAGTGTAGGGGGTAGCAGATGCAGAGTGTAGTTAGGGGACGAATGAGTGGCTGGCAGTAGTAGGAAGTTCCTACAATTTGCCATCAGCAGCTGTATTGACAGTAACGTAAAATCCGTTGGCATAGACCATATGCAGTCAAGAGGACAGACGAGTCAACTGAACAAACTACACTCTACTACAGCCCCGCAACCTAACGCGAAAGATGATAATGCACAACCAAGACGTCACTTTTTCTATCCATCCAGTAATATAAGTATGTAAGTAAGTAAAAAGTATGTGTGTCCGCATACAATCTCTCTCTTTCTCTCCTCGTCCCCCCTTTCCCCCTTCCTCCCTTTTGGTATGTGACTATACAAACAGCCTCTCGAAAGAATACTTCCCCACGGCCTTCCGCCGCAGGTACCCGATCTCTCGACTACTGCGGGTCTTGACCTCGCCCGTCTCCTTCTTGACCTTGGTCTTGCTGACGTCGTGGGCGGCGGCCTTCAGCGACAGGGGCAACAGCTTCCCACCGGCGGCCTCGCCGCCGGCGCCGCCTTCCTCGCCGTCGCCGGCACCGAAGATGACCAGGTCGGCGCCGTTGAGTTTCTCGTACCGGACATTGGCGGGAGTGACGGTCTGCTCGGTCGCGGGGATGACTGCCGTATCAGCAACGGCAGTGGTGACGGCAGTGGTGGCCTTGACGCTATTCGTGTAGCGGAGGTACTCCCGGAGAATGCCGGTGAGGTAGGTGGCCTCCTCGACGCCGGCGAGAGCGGCGGAGATCTCGGACTTGATGTCGGCGATCAGCTCCTGGCTGTTTTCGGCCAAGGGTTCCCCGGGGGAGGCGGCGGCGGCGATCCAGCCCGAGGGGCCGATGGCGTCGATGGCGGCGTTCAGGCAGGTGGTGATGGTGTCGAGGGGCAGGGCGGGGTTGGTCTGGTCCGGCGAGATCGGGGTCGGCGGGTTCTCGGTGAAGCGGGTGGTGTGGCCGCTGGTGGCGAGGCAGAGGCGGAGGTGGTGGACCATGGAGATCAGTTCGGAGCGGGTGAGGGCGGAGCGGAGGGCGGTCGTCAGCGTGGCGGGCGGGTGGGTGTGGATTTTGTGCAGGGTCGTGTTGAGGCCCTTGTAGATGTTGTGGAGGGTGGCGGGCTCCGTTGGAGTTGTTGTTGTCGTCGTGACGAGGGCGTTGGAGTCTGAGTTTGTGGAGGGGTCGGCGGGGGAGTCGGACATCTCCTCATCGTGATCGGGCTGCGTTTCGCCGGAGGTGAGGAGCTTGGCGCGCGCCTCCTCGAGGATGATGGCGCTGGAGCGCGCCTTGTCGAGGAACAGGCGCAGGGCGTAGGCGAGCTCGTCGGTCGAGAGCACCACCCGGCCGGACAGCACGCTGTTGAGTCTTTGAAGCGTCGGGTCCGAGTCGACCAGCCCCTGCACGAAGGAGCCCACGGGCAGCGGTTGCAGGATGCACGGCTTGATGCTGCGGCGCAGGGCGATCTCGACGTTCGCCTGCGAAAGGTGGCCGATGTTGATGAGCCATTGGCAGGTGCGTTCGGGCCAGATGGCTATCGAGAGGCGGGAGGCGGTGGGCGCGGATAGCGTGTCCTTGCTGGTCTGGGTGTTGTTCTCCTCCTTCAGGGAGAAGATCAGGGTCAGGAGGAAGAGCGTCAGTTCCGAGTTGACGAACTTTCCGGGCCCCGGGAGGGTCTTGGACTCCCCGGCGCCGAAGAACCGCTGCACTGCCGTGTCGAAGGCGCTGGCATTGTTGCCCTTGACGCACTCGCGGAGATCGTTGGTCAGCTGCGTCCACCGCACGGTTTGCTTGGCAGTCAGCCCAAAGACGGCGGCATCCTCGGTTCGCAGCTTCTTCGAGCTAAGGTCAGACTGGGCGTATGAGGGTCCGATACCACGGCCGATGGCGTCGATCAAGAGGCCGTCGCGAGGGCGTTTGAGGGGCCCGGCGGCGAGACTTGAGGAGCTCAGGTCGAACGCCAGCAGGGTGTTGTTCTTTGTGGCGAGGGCAACCCCCAACCGGGCAAAGTAACTGACGAAGGTCGTGGGTGCCTTGACGCTGGATGAGCCACTCGCCGGGACGTCGCTAACGGCGATACTCCGCTGGATGGACTGGTATTGGGTATCGTAGACGGCGATCATCGATTGGCCAGCGCCGATCACGGATTGGGGCGAGATGCGCATGATTGACGAGAAGGTCTCATTCTCGAGGATGAACTTCGACGTCAGCGTAGGGGCGTACTGAGAGAGATCGAAGTTGATGTGTCCGTGTGGGAACGAGAGGTTCAGTCCAGCCGATCCGGAGTGGAAGTACCACTGCGAGCCCTGGCGCTCAATGGTCTCCTGTCCGCTGACCTCGGGGATGCTGATCGTGAGCAGGTGTCTCATCTTCTGGCTTTCATCGATGCTGCGCTCTAGAAGGGTAGCGTCGGAGGGCACGGAGAACATCTGGACTTTGACGTCGCTGAGTTTAACCGGATCGGATCCATTGGGGTGCGAGACGACCAACAGAATCGAAGGCTCATCCACGCCACTATCGGTGAGGCTGCCGAGCGCCAAAGCCGTCAGGTCTTGCCGGCGCTTGAGCAGAGATTTCTTCGCATCCTCGAATTCAACAAGGAAACAGGCGTTGACGCTGTGTGTCGAGCTGATCTTGGCCACCTCGCTGTGTTTCATGCTCCATCGCTGGGTCTTGAGATCGGGAGAGAGTCGGCGGACGCGACCATCTTGGTGAACGGCGAGAATGTCGAACGAACATTCAGGTTCTTGCTCAGTCGAAGGGCCAGGGACAATCCCCACAAAGTTGACTGGGCTATCTGAATCGCTAACGGAGTAGGACGAGGAGGAAATCACCGGGGCGCTGGCGCCATTGCCACCACTTTCTTCAACAAATGCCTTGATCTGCTGCTTCAAGGCGATGTATGTCTGTCTTCTGACCACGGATTTGCTGGGGATCTTTCTGCGCACCGAGCAGGGCTGGCAAGTGAAGGATGATTGCGGCGGGACGGCGTAGGAGGTCACCAATTTGGGGGTTTGAATCTATCCAGAGACAAGATCGTCAGCATGGAAATCCTTATGCGATTGATTGACCAGTGACAACATACGTTGTAAATGTTCACGGCTTCACCATCTGCCGCAACGACGACTTCATGTCTCTTTCGCTTCTTCGACTCGGCCAGACTGAAGACATCGCCGATGTGGGTTTTGCCGGTTGAGGCGTGCAATGGGCGAGGCAACTGAGCCAGCACCGACGGCGGTTGCAAATCCATGGTAGCAACAGTTGAGATCAAAGTATGCGACAAAACTGCGACCGTTGTCGCTATGAAACTGCGGCGTCGGCCTTCACAGAAAGAAAATGGATCTGTATGCCTTCCCGAAAAATTTCCGGGCTTATGGTTGCTCCGGCCCCCGGTGCCGATACCCAAAGCGGCTTAGGCGGGAATGACGTCCGGGCAGCGCAAGAAAGCCTCAGGCCTCAAGCCTCAGGCCGCAGGCCGAGTCCCTCCCGGGCGGCGTTTTCATCCCGCCCTTAATTGAAGGCGCGGAAACACGCGCAGCGCGTCTTTTGGTGCCCGTCCGCTTATCACTACAACCACACCAGAACATCTCGAACATTTCACTTTCACTTTGACTCTCCTTGTCTACCTCATGATCTAGAATTCTGGAAGCCGTCTCCGCGCAATTCATGTCCTTCATTTACATGTTCTTTCCGTTATCTCTCCTACAACCTCCTTTCAGGTGATGAGCTTCTGCTCATCATCTGGAGACTCTCAATTGATGGCCACTGGACATGGCGAACAGAGGGCTATCCACCCCTTCTTTCGCAAAGGTCGTTTCCCCTGTTTCGTCATTCAGTTCAGTTCATACAAAGGCTGACTGTGAACAGAATTCGGAGTAGCACCCGACCCAATTATCCATAACCCCGTCAATGATGCTGCAGCGCAACCCCAACTCTCTCACGGCGACAGTGCCCGGCCTATCTCAGAAATCAACAACCCCCCCAATCCCTCCGAATCTTGCGACACATCCCGCGTTCACTCGTTAGCTATGCTCGATCATGATCCAAATTCCGAACGAAGAAAACGAAGGAAGACCGACAAAGATGACCCGGCAGAGACGACACAGGTTACGGTCAATCCGTCCTCAACCAAGCCTGAATCCGGGGAGTCACAGCCGAAGACACCGACCAGTCCAGGAATTGAAACCCCCCCACCCAGCAATCCTCAGGTCGTAATTGCGTCAGGGGAGAGAAAGTCGCCCAGGCAGAAGACTATCAAATTGAATGCCAATGGGAAATTATTGTCGTCGCCGGTGTCTGCTAAGGTTGAGGACAATCCAAGAAAGGGGAGGAAGAACAAGCGCGGCAAAGCAGCTGAGCAAAAGGCTCAGCCTTTTGGGAGCAAGGTTGTCATCATTAAATACAATGTGGAAGCAAATTCGGAGAAGGGGCTTGCCCAGCTCATAGACGACATTATCAGTGGTCGCAAGAAACACATCGCAGCCACAAAACCTCTCCACCATACCCCGGCCCCATCTATACCTACACAGGAGCAGCCTGCTAAAGCAACCCATCCGTTCTTCCTGAAGAAATCCTCTCAAAAGGCGAATCACTCCAACACTCAAACAGACGCTCATGAGGCAACCCCTCCGAACACCCAACGAAAAGAAACTAAGCAAGTCTGCTCGACGCCGAAATTCCCTCTCAAATCTAGCTCAAGCTTTCCAGGAACATCAACACCGAATTCATTCGCTAAGCGGCCTAGATACCCCGAACTCGCGCACCCAATCTGGCCACCTCATGGCCTCACACACGTCAGGGGCAGACAAGACGATCTCGAATCCTACAGCCTTGACATGAGGGGTCTAGGTCCGAAGAAGTCCAAGACTGCTGCGATCAATGTCCCCGACGACGAAAATGTCCTCTTACTTCGGCTACCCAAGAACCCCTCCGCTGCGTCAGGAATACTGAGAATACCTGGAAGACACGTTGCCAGTGGGAAGATCTTGCAATGCGCTGTCACCAGACAACTCTCCGAACAAGCTTCATCTGCACGAACGAAGAAGAGTACTCTGAATAAGACTTGTCACGCTGCCCTCGCCAAACTCCACGCTTCGCTCACCAGTTCCATGTCCGCTTTTGACCTTGGTCTTTGCGACACCTCTAGCTGGACTCAAAAATACGCTCCCCAATCTGCAGAGCAGGTTCTCCAGGCCACGAGGGAAGTCTTTATGCTGCGCAATTGGCTGCAATATCTCAAGGTCACCGCTGTCGACACAGGCAAACCACAAAAAGACGATGCGGCGAAAAAGAAGACGGAGGAGAGGAAGCGCAAGAAACGCAAGAAGGACAAACTGGACGGCTTCATTGTGTCCAGTGAAGAGGAAGCCTCCGAGATGGACGAAATTTCCGGCTCAGATGATGAACTCGCTGCGGACATGACCACCAAGAAGACCGTCGTTCGTGCTGGTGACATGGCGCTGGGTTCAAAATCGGGGACCGAGAAAATTCGCATGTCCAATGTCATCTTGATGAGCGGTCCTTCGGGGTGTGGCAAGACGGCATCGATTCAGGCAGTAGCCAAAGAGCTGGACTTTGAGGTGTTCGAAATCAACCCGGGAAATCGCCGGAGCGCCAAGGACATCCTGGACCGTGTAGGTGACATGACACGCAACCATCTGGTCCATCACCATCACACCGATGACAGTGCATCTGATGGAAGTGGTGTCGAGCTAGTGGGCCCGAAAAAGAATAAACTCAAAGGGTTCTTCCAGTCAACATCAACTGTCAAGTCGGGGGCCAAGCCGGCACCCGAACCAGAATCCTCAACACTAGAGTCAGAGACGAAGCGTTCTCGCAGCCAGAAGCAATCGTTCATTCTTCTGGAGGAGGCAGACATCCTTTTCGAAGAAGACAAGGGATTCTGGTCCGGGGTGATGACGCTAATCAGCCAATCGAAACGGCCAATCATCATCACCTGCAACAACGAGAAACTTCTTCCACTCCAAGACATCTCCTTTCATGCCATACTTCGCTACCGACCTCCTCCAAAAGTTCTTGCTGTTGACTATCTCCTTCTTGTGGCTGCCAATGAGGGTCACATGCTTAAACGAGGAGCGGTCGAGAGTCTGTACGACAGCACAGGTCGAGATCTCCGGCGATCTATCATGGAGTTGGATTTTTGGTGCCAGATGGCGATCGGCAGCGAGAAGTCCGGCCTTGACTGGATCCTTGATCGCTGGCCGCGGGGGTTGGACCTTGATCCGAACGGTGACCCTCTTCGGGTGCTGAGTCTTAATGCATACGAGCCATTCATGGGCTGGTTTGGGCGCGACATGCTGCAGAGTCACGGACCAGACAGTGAGATTGAACCTCGACTAGAGTCACTTGCATGGTGGCGGCTTAGCATGCAGGAAACACAGACCATGAACACTCTCAGGCAGTCTGATTCGTATCATTCGGGCACGAAACCGGTGAATGCGATGTCCAACGCTGATCATCTAGAGACGTTGTTGCAAAAATCCAAATTTGCCGATTTACAAAGTGACCTTGACCTTCTCTGCTCCCGCTGCTCACTTGACATGAAGCTGGTAAGCCTCTCTCTTCATATCCTAAAGCTTTGAGTTAACACATTTAGGACACTCTGGATCCCTCAATACCTCCATTACCGGAAAAGCAAAGGACAAACTACACCGAAGGTTGTCAATTGCTCTCCGCAGATATCATGCCGGAGTACACAGCAATGCCAGCGGCCATGGGCTGCACCTTCGAGACTTTACTAGAGAAGGCTTTCGCGCATGAATATCAAGAGGACAAGCAGTCTGTTGATATGAAAGCCTCGGATAAGAAGACTTCGGATCCTGAATCGGAGTATGGCGCAAGGGTCCTGAAAGAAGTGAATAAACCCCCCAGTGCTGGTCCTGGCCGTGCTGAATTCCATGCGGCCTTCGAGCCTATGACGAGAGCGGATTACGTCTTCCCCATGCCTACTGGCCGTTTGGCACCTTCATTTGAGAGCGGAATGCGTCCCATTGCTGAGGATCTAGGACCCTATATCCGAGGAATCATGGCCTATGATCTCCGCTTGGCACACCGTCGGCTACAATTGGGTGAGATTCTCTCCAGTGATGGGAAGGGTGCCAAGCGCACACGACAGACCCGAGCCAGTCGAGCAGCGCTTGAGGGTGGCGACAAGGCATATACTCGCAAGGAGAGATGGTTTCCATCGGACGCCAACCCGTCGCTGGTCTTCGCGACGGGTAAGCAGGAATGGCAGGAAATCCTGGCGCGGAAGGGCTACTTTGTTGTATCGCCTCCTGGGGAAGGTCAGGTGGAATGCAACGATCGGTCATCCGAGAGCTCGAGCGAGGGAGGCATATAGATAGAGGAGGTTAGCGACGCGAGAGCGTTTGATGCGCGGAGACGACTGCAGGGCAGAGCTCGGCGATGCGATTCAGCATTGATTCCTCAGAACCTATATTTTTAGTGTAAATAACTTAGAGCAATGTATGAGTAGCTCGATATTTCCAAGTTTTCATTTGCTAGTAGGATTCAACATTGCGGTGTACTGTGTAGAGATACGTACCTCGATTGTGTTACCTTATATGTACTCTGTAGCTGGTTCGTATGAGCGGGGGGTGGGCAAGGATGGAGCTCGGAATTGGCTGAGAGGGGATTAGTTGGTGGTTTGGTGGTTCCCGCAGTGGATCGGCGACGGCGACATCACTCCATCCCTCGATCCCTCCATTCATTCCACCCAGTCAGTTCTCCTTCGCAAACGCGTTTCCTTATCACCTCCCTCCTCCCTCTCTACCTTTGCTCCAGCAACCCCAACAAAACCTCCAACCTCCAATCCTCAACCTCAATCTTCATTTATGGAATAATCAGAAGAAGAGCAGGATCTTTTCTCTCTTCCCCCCCCTCCTAATGTCGGTGTGCGCACCTGTAACAGTCCTGGCACTATTTTTATATTAGCTTGTTTTCCTCCCTTATCAGCCTCCTTCGCTCCCTCCCGCCTCCGACCGCACTCCGCTTCGTCATTGCCTTGGCCTCCTGCGACATCAACAACACTTCCACCATCACCCCCTATACCGACCGTTCGCCCTCTGCTGACATTCCATGTCGCTCTTTGGCACATCCCCCGAGGATTCGGCGCTGGGTAATTCCGCGCAGAGATCCAAGTCCTCCCTTTTCGCAGACGAGCCGTCCTTTGGTGGGAACACAGGAAATGCGGGTTCCTCCTCCCTCTTCGCCGACGACGAGGGGCTGAACTCCGGCTCGCTCTGGGGCAACAGTGTCAACAAACGGACGAAACACCAAATTGTGAAGACTCTCCTTCCGCAAGATGAGGTTCCTGACAGCTATATCGATGCGTACGATCTGGTGCTCAGTGAGGGGGATCGCGTGGGCAGTGGTGTGGGCCTGACATCCGTCCGCGAAATCCTGTCGAGCAGCGGACTCAGTGCCAGCGATCAGGAGAAAATCCTGAATTTGGTCGTCTCGGGCGATGTAGACAGCTCCACTGGCCTAGGACGTGGTGAGTTCAGCGTGCTTCTGGCACTCGTGGGCCTAGCGCAGGAAGGGGAGGACCTGACATTCGATGCGGTTGACGATCGACGCAAGAGTGAGTTGTCGCGGACTCTCCATGTCATCCTTTAGACCCGACTCGTGTAGCTAATAGCAGGTGCGCTGCCCACTTGAACAGAGCTCCCGCAGCCCAGGTGCTCTTATTTCGACGCATTGCGCGCTAAACACGAAACTGCTACATCGGGGCAGTCTTCGCAGCAAGACCGTCCCACTACGCCTCCTGCCCCCGCCACCCCGCCGCCAGAGCCAAGTTCAACTCATTCACGACAGTCCCGCCGTGGGTCCATGGGCAGTTTTGAAGCCGATCCGTGGGGAAGCCCTCAGCTGCATCGAGGACATGCCCATGCCCAAACCGAATCCGAGCACCCCGTTCTCAATGGTTATGGCAGCGTACGATCCGGGACCAATGCATGGGCTAGCAGAGCCAGTGATACCAGCGGCCCGCAGGATGCGCCAGAGAATCCCCATCCCAATCGAGGGGCGGGCTTGGGCCCTTCTGCTAACCCTGGCTTTGGATGGGGAGACAACATTGGGAATACCTCGGATGGACATGGACTGGGAGGGCCGGTCCGAGCTGGAATTGGAGGCTTTGGCCCACCCGGGAGCGACCAAGGCGACTCCAATCCCCGTCGCCGGTCCTTAGGCATCGATAGAGTTACGAATACCCGTACGGAGGAAGTGATCACGATCACCTTGCTTCCGGAAAAGGAAGGCATGTTCATGTTTCAGCATCGCAATTATGAAGTCAAGTCTGCCCGCAGAGGGAGCACCGTGGTTCGACGGTACAGTGACTTCGTGTGGCTCCTGGACTGCCTCCACAAACGCTATCCGTTCCGCCAATTGCCACTGCTGCCCCCGAAGAGGATTTCAGGTACGTTCAAATTAGGCTTGCTACAAGCTGTCCTCCACGCTTACACACCTTTCCTAAGTCAATGGCACTCACCTTTCAGCGGACTCCAATTCCTTCCTGGAAAAACGTCGTAGGGGACTTGTACGATTTACGAATGCGCTCGTTCGGCATCCGGTCTTGAGCCAGGAGCAATTGGTGGTTATGTTTTTGACGGTTCCGACAGTAGGTCTTGTGGGTTCGTTGTGGTCAAAGCAGTGGATGATCTGACATTGGGACAGGAACTTTCGGTGTGGCGGAAACAGGCGACCATTTCAGTGCAGGACGAATTTGCGGGCCGAGCCCTACCCCCCGATCTTGAAGACTCGCTCCCCTCCAACTTAACAGACCTGTTCGATACGGTCCGCAGTGGGGTCAAACGGTCGGCGGAGGTGTACATCAATCTGTGCACGCTGTTGGAGCGGTTAGCGAAGCGCAACGAGGGGCTTGCTGCCGATCACCTGCGGTTCTCCCTGGCGCTGCAGTCGCTGACCGAGGTGACACGCGACACCTACGCAGTGGATACGAACGATGTGCCGTTGCTCAACGAGGGAATCAAGGCCACGGCACGGCATCTGTCGGCAAGCCAGAGTCTGCTGGAGGACGAGGCTCGGGCTTGGGAGGATGGGATGTTGGAAGACCTCAAGCGCCAACGCGACTGTCTGGTCAGTGTGCGAGAGATGTTTGATCGGCGGGACCGATATGCTCGTAACAACATCCCCCAATTGGAGCGTCGCATTGAGAACAACGAGCGCAAGCTGCAGGAGCTGCGGGCCCGGCCCCAGAACACGGTCAAACCGGGCGAAATTGAAAAGGTGGAAGAAGCTATCTTCAAGGTATGTGGAATGTTCATTTCTGATTCTGGTTCAGTGGTCCAGACTGGGATGGCTAACCCGGTTGCCTTGTCGGGGATTGCAGGACAAGGAATCGATTGTGCAACAACACGCACGTGGGGTGTTTATCAAGGAGTGCATCCGGGACGAACTCGTGTTTTTCCAGCAAAGTCAATACCACATCAGCCGGCTGCATCAAGACTGGAGTCAGGAGCGGGTCAAGTACTCGGAGCTGCAGGCGGACAACTGGCGGTCACTCAGCGATCAAGTGGAGGGCATGCCGTTAGGGGACTGATGCACTGATGCACGTGTCAATTACTGGCACTGAACATTGCTTTTTTTTCTCTCTTTTTTTGGTCTTGAATTCTTGCGCTGTGCCTCCTGTCTACTGTATCTCAGAGAATTTTTTCTTTACTCGCGCTATCCTCCCGAAGTGATTTTTGATCGTGGTTTTCCTGCAGCGACTCTAGCCCCCTGTACGCATCCCTGTTTGGCAGACGGACCTACCGCCTGCACAGTGTTAATTTTAGGTTTTTCTTTTCTGGACAGTTGAACGGTTGCCGTTTTGGACACCTTGCTCTGATGGTCCCCGAGTGCAGAGATCACGGGTTGGACACATGGTTGGGTTGCTTGCTTGGTTGGGAGTGACCTGCAGGAGACATTGCATCGCTGGGCCCGGCCAAATCAGGCGTACCGTGCTGTAGTGTGAGGTATCTGCTAGTTATTCCTTGTTCGTGCCCGGCATATTGGTTGACCACAGCTGTTTCCATAAGTGCCGACCAGTTAGATCGCTTCTCTGCTGTTACGTGGAGGTGATCAAGATACTCTTAATGCTTGTTCTTTTTTCTTTTTGTGATCAAGCGGGTAAATATATATACTATTGAACCGGCGCGGGCGGACTTAGTGACCGAGGGAATCAAGGCATTGGCAGGACTGTGAGTATGAGTGATAGTGTTTGCCGTCCATCATACTTCGCCCTTGAGCAAGCAAGCAAGCAACCAACCACCCTGGCAATCCTGTCAGTGATTCCAAGTGTATGAATGGGAAGTACAGGAAGTATTCCGAGTCTCCGGTCGGTCTATCTGTTCGGTCTCGTGATGGGGAAGGGGGAGGGAAGAAGGCGGTTAGTCAGAGTCGGGAAGTCGGCAAGTCGGGATGAACGAATGGCCGACTTGGTTCAAGTCGAAGTGGGGACACTTCCTCTAGACTAATCCAAAGAGGGACAAGTGCAGCTCCGCTTTTCGCTTTTGACCGCCAATAAAGACCAGCAGAAACCGAGCATTTGCAGCCTTGCAAGGCTGGGCAAAACGATGGCTTTTCTGGCTGTTGCGGTTAACTTAGTCTTGTTCTGTGTTTAGCCTCGGGGCTAGTCTCTTTTTCTACCTAGTCGTCTCTTCCTGCATGGCAGGTTTGGAGATTGTGTCGTCATGATCATGATTGGCACCATGTGGTGTGTGTGTGTGTGTGTGTATGTGAGTCCATTCAGTCTCAGCTGTCATCCCACAATTGTCCTCCCTTCCCCCCCCAATGCATCCAAATGCATACATACCACCTCTCACACGGGGAAGCACAAAAGAACAGTCCGTCGCAAAAGTCGGATCTGATCTGTACAGTACTTCTTGGGGAGAAGTTTAAGTCATGTACCGTACCGTTACAGTAGAGTTGTGGTGGATCAGAATTGTTGGCGGAACACGACTGGAAATGTGATGGGTAATCGGATGCGAGCCCTATTGGTGTGGAGTGATACTTATTAGTTTGGAGGTAAATTATGGGCCGCTACGGAGTACCTTCTAGTAGTCTCTTTCCTGGTCGGATTCAGAGGGTAGAGTATAGTCAAGGACTAGCTTAGTTACAGCATCTTGTACATACAGAAAGTGTCTCTCTGTAGCGACATCATGACGAGATGTATGTGCAGTATATCAACCCAGCAGTATCCCGCCTTCATCGGCTCCTGGGATTTCATAACTCCACGACAACTACCGAGTCAGTGCAATCATAGCTGGAATCATAATTAGAATAGTGGAGTCCCGCCAATTGCCAAGCCTCCTCGCCTTCGTCCGTTCCGCGACGATTGAGTGATTCAGAGCTGTGAAGGAAGTCAGATTGAACGGATTTCCCCGCCGACCGTCGGCGTTCTTTCCCTGGCTCGTCGTCATCAGTCTTGGTTCACGTCTTGGATCAGTCTTGGAAAGGCAGCAAATCTCCGAATCATATTCCTACGCCCAGCTCGTGCCCAGAACTTGGCTTGCTTCTCTTGCTTCAATTCCTCCAGTTCCTCCCTCCTCTCTGGTCGCTCCTCTCGGCTTGGATCGGGTGCCGCTGACTTCGTTTCTGGTGCCTGTTTCGCCCTCCAAAACTTACTCTCCCTCCCCATTCCTCGTTCTTGTCTTTTTTCTTTTTCTTTTGTCTTGTTCTTCTCTTCTCTTTCTTGTTTCTCAGACCTGTGTCTTAGCCTTCACCCTCACCTCCATCTTCCTATCCCATTCCGTGCATCTCGTTTTCTTGGGGAAAGCTTCGAATTGTTTGGAGAGATCTTGAACTATTCAGTTTCCAGAATCGGTAAGTCTTCCTAGTAGTCATCCTTCCTTTGCTTCTCCCAAAGCGGCAGTCTTTCCTTTGGCCGCCGCCGCCCGCGCCTCTTCCCATTCCCCATTCCTCGCCCTGCGCGATCTTCCCTTGACTTCTCCCTCTTGAGAAAACACTCGGACCAATGCTTTGTCTCTCATTCCCAATTTCTTGTTTATTTCTTTTCTTTTTCCTCGTTTCCGGAAACTAATCGCACGTTTTGCTCTCGCCCGCAACAGGAATCCTCTCCTCTTCTCTCCTCTCCCTCCCATACTCTCGACCCCCCTTGCAGGTGACGACGCCCACGAGGCCCTCGACAGGAAAACTCCGTCTTGGGATTTTCTCCGCTTTCGCCTGTCATCGTTTCGGGCCGCATATCATTGATTTCCCAAAAGGCATGCGGAAATTCGGCGTGCGTCCACCTTAAGCGGCGGGTTTCCCCTTGTTAGAGCGCATCCAGGTCCCGATCGGCGGAAGCTCCTCCGAGATCCTCAATCATAACTTGGTTTCGCGGCGCATCGACCTCAAGACGCACGAGCGCCCCGCGGTGGAAAAGCGAATCTGGTACAACAACCAACCTAATCGCTTAATTTGACCAACAAATCATCATCAAATTCTACTGGGATAGCGCTTTTCGATCTCGTGCGCTTCCCCCGCCGTCGCAGTGATGGCGTGGGATCATTTAGATATCGATAAGCCCCATCTGGCGTACATGATCCTGGGTGGGTTTACCAGTCTGTTCATGTTATGTTCGCTCTTCGTCAAGGAGAAGCTGTACATCGGTGAAGCGACCGTTGCCACTCTGTGTGGTATCATCTTCGGGCCTCATGCGGCCAACCTCTTCAACCCCATGTCCTGGGGCAATGTCGACAAGATCACGCTGGAATGCTCGCGCATTGTCCTGGTCGTCCAGTGCTTTGCCGTCGGAGTCGAATTGCCCAAAGCCTATATGGAACGGCACTGGAAGTCGGTGTTTTTGCTGCTGGTACCCGTCATGACCTGGGGCTGGCTGATCACGAGTCTGTTCATCTGGTGGATGGTGCCGCCTCTCTCGTGGCTCGAGAGTCTGATCTGCGCGTCCTGTGTCACCGCCACCGACCCCGTCCTCGCCTCCTCGGTCGTCGGTAAAGGTAAATTCGCCCGCCGAGTGCCCAAGCACTTGCGAGACCTCTTGTCCGCCGAGTCCGGCTGCAACGACGGCATGGCCTTCCCGTTCATTTATCTGGGGTACTACATCTGGCGCTACCGCCCCCATGCGGGCGAGGTGTCGCTGCATTGGTTCTGTGTAACCATCCTGTACGAGTGTATTTTTGGTGCGGTCTACGGGTTTATCATTGGGTATCTGGCCCGGCACGCGATCAAGCTCGCCGAAAGGAAGGGGCTTATCGATCGTGAAAGTTTCTTGGTCTTCTACTTTGTGCTGGCCGTCTTCTGCGCCGGCTCGGGCAGTCTACTGGGCATGGACGATCTCCTGATCGGCTTTGCCGCCGGTGTGGGCTTCAGTAATGACGGATGGTTTACGGAGAAGACAGAGGAGTCCCACGTGTCCAACGTCATCGATTTGCTACTCAACTTGGCATACTTTGTGTATTTTGGAGCGATCATTCCCTGGGAGGACTACAACAACACATCGATTGGTCTGCAGCCCTGGCGACTGGTTGTGATAGCGATCTTGGTCATCTTCTTCCGTCGCATTCCGATCATGCTGATATTGAAACCGATTATACCCGATGTGAAAACATGGCGTGAGGCATTGTTCGCTGGCCATTTCGGACCGATTGGCGTCGGCGCGATCTTTGCGTCGATCTTAGCACGGGCCGAACTGGAGGGACATGGCACCAGTCCATTAAGGGAATCAGAGCTCCCGGCGGCCGGTTCTTCGAATTACTATATCATTCAGCTCATCTGGCCGATTACGACCTTCATGGTCATTTCCTCGATTTTGGTTCACGGCTCCTCTATCGCCGTCTTTACGCTCGGCAAGCGGATCAACACCCTGACCATCACGTTGTCCTACACCACCGCCAACGAAGAGGGTCCCTCCTGGATGAATCGTCTGCCGCGGGTGCAATCCCTCGCAAAGGGTTCTATGTCCTTCCGCAAACCGGATGAGGATGAATCTTCCAACGAACCCGATTATCCTCCGGGTACACTGCCTCCGATTGGAGTTCCGGGTAACTTCTTGCGCCGTCAGAAGGAAGACGAAACGGACCCGGCGCGTGCCCGATCGACGAGTAGGACCCGTAGGAGACGCCGCAGACGCAACGACGGAGCGGGTGGTCCCATTAGCCAGTCGGCTATCGCGCCGCAGCGAACTGCAGATACTGAGAAATCTGAGAAGCAGGAAGAAGAACGCGAAGAGGAGGAAGAACGCGATAGAATTGAACGGGAATCTTCTCCTCCTAACCGGGAGCGCGATCGCTTCGGTCAAGAGCCCGTCATGGAAGTATACCTGGAGGGTCATAACATGATCATGGAGGATGAAGAGGGTAACGTTCTCAAGGTCGAGGACGTCAGTCAAATGTCCGAAGAAGAGCAGAAACAACATATCGAGGAACAGCGGCAGAAGTTACGACAGAATTCGGCCGAGTTTGCTACCTCTCGCTCACATCCCCACGAGAAGAACGAAGGCGAGGAGATCGAGAAGAAAGTGGAAGAAAAGGCCGAACGTTCTGTCGAAAAGACTCGGAAGATGATCGGTAACTGGATGAAATTCGGCAAGGGCGGCGATCGTGTCCAGGTGCCCGTTCACACCGAGGAGGAGAAGGCTGCAGCCAAGCGCAGGGCTGAGAAAGAAGTTCACAAGCGCAAGGGCAAGGGCCGCTCCGCTCACGCGTACCAGTTTGGCAACACGATTATCGTCGAGGACGAAGATGGTGAGGTCATCAAGAAGTATTCGATCCCCGCGAAAGAAAAGCCTAAGCCTGAGGGTAACGCTCCGGTTCGACGAGGACTGACCCGGATGGGTACCTGGTTCGGCATGGAGGAAGAGGGTGATAGCTCGCAAGCGGCGCGGAAGGCGGCACAGGACGAATGGCTGGCAGATGACGGTCTGCGTTTCACCCTGGCTGACGATGGCGACGTCGGAAAGCGCGGCATCGAACACAAGGGTCGTCGCATGACTAAGCATGAATTCGCTCAACAGATCCGCAACCTGGGCCCCAAGGCTCGTCGCGATGTGGTGGAGGAAACCGATGCCCCGGAGCGGGTGAAGAAAGTTGCGCGCCAGGAAGCCGAGAAGGCGGAGGAGCAAGAGCAAGAGCGCCGCAAGTCGGATCCCGGTGTTGCACCCTCAGTCCCCGTTTTCGACGATGATTCCGAATCCGAGACTGACCTCAGCGACGATGAACCGGGCCATGGGGTTCCCGGCGACAACATCGCCGCCTCTCTGGCCCGGTTCAGTCGTGGTACCGCCGCCGATGAGCGGCGCTCTCGCCACCTGAGTCCGGAATCATCGTCTCCGAAGACGCAAGCTCGATCGCGCAGAGATTCCGAGGATGACGGCACCGAGCGTGTGCCGCCCGCTCAATTGCGCGAAGCGGCTGGCCTCGCCCGTCCGCCTCAGCAGGCCGATGACGATACGGGCGAAACGCCCGCCGAGCGACGGCGTCGTTTGGCTGCTCTGGGTGAAATCAACAACTCGGACGACTCGGATGACTCCGATACTCCGGTGGATGAAGTGGATGAATCCGACAGCGAGAACAACGGCGCAAACCAGAGCAGGGTGCAGTTCGCCGATGGCACCAAGGACAGTCGCCAGCAGTCATTCAACGGCGGTAGCTCGGGTGAAGCCCAGGATACTGGGTCGACCTACTCGCGCCACAGCCGCAGTGCCAGCCGTCGCAGCATTTCCTGGGGAGGTGAGAAAGGACGAGAGACATGATCAACAATAAAGAATAAAAAGAGGGGAAGGTGAGCGGGGGGTTGTTGTTCACAGGTGTCATAGAGAGGGGGGGGGGGGTTGGAAAAAAGGGGGGAGAAGAAGGCGGTGAACGGACCCCGAGGGATCTACGATCCACGTTGCTGCTTGTGCGTGCTGTGCTGCCTTAGAACCAAAAGAGCAGGAGACGAGACGAGACGAGACGGCCTGGCTTGATTCCCTTGCATTGAGCGAGCATTGGGTTGCATGCATGCATTCGCGTGATGATGTTTCTTTCCTGCCTCTTTCCTTTCTTGTGTATAGAGCAAGAGTCACTTGTTTTTTATATGTAACTTACTTCCTACCCGGTTGATCCGGACTTACTCAGGACGGGGGGAGTTTCGACCTGCGATTAGAGGGTTGATTTCCGATGTGATGAGTATGGAGTACATAGATAATTGCATAATGGTATTGTTTGGCATCCTGGTGTTTTGATCATCGTATGATTGGATTGATTTTACGGTTATTCTGTAGATTTGGTCTAAATCTTTATCTTCGAGGTGACAGATGGCAGGTTAGAATTCTTTTGCCCATGCCAACCCATGACTTCACCCACTTGTACCAGCGATCCTTCATAATGAGTCGATCAGAATTTTCGCAAATGCAAAGATCTCATACAAAACACTGGCACTAACCCTAACACCTGGTCCACGCTTCTACCCTGTCAGTATCAGTGGGTTTGTTGTTCTATGGCTTGCAGATAGGGTTGTGGACTTGTCGTCAGTAGGCGATATATCGACCTCGCTCATGCATAGATGTATCGTCGTGTGAAATGGGTGGATGCGTCGGTGCTTGATTAGGATTGGCGGGTTAGATTGCTGAGCCCATATGCTCATCGACCGCTAGGATATCTGCTGGTATGATTGACGGGATTGATGCTCCTGCTGGAATGTGTGCGCCATAGACCACGGGTTCTTCTCATGGAGAGGTGGAATGACTGGTCACCTGAACGAGTTTGAGCCTTGAGCACCGCCGCTGACTTGCGTGATGTGTCCGCTGGCCAGTTTGGAAAACCTGTACCGAGCTGTGATGGCTGTGGCGGTATGGTGTTCGTCTTAACGCTTGTTCATTCGGTCGCAAAAACACCGCTCAATCATTGAATTTGATTTCTTCAGATTCCAGATTCTTTCTTGGGGTGCCTTGCACTTCGCTGGCTGGGCTGGGATCTGGATATCAGAATTCATCGAACAGGATAGCACGAATTGCTGGCTGATTTTGGGTCAGGCATAGATTCATTAGTACCTGAATCTGAATCATGCGCAGGGGATCATGCGGAGGACATGCTTGGACACCGTTCTTTCGTGGTCGTCTGTTGCTTAATCGCGAGCAGATGGCTGTGAAAGAATGGTGAGCAGGTGTGGAAGAAAGTCTTGCTGCTGGGGCTGCTGGGGCAGCTGGAGCTGCTGAAGATACTTCATCTGAGTGCTGCATGGCTCTCGGTTACTGTTTCGCTCCCCTTATGCTTTGGAGTTGACTCACATACGAAAGCAGTTATGATAGGCACATTTGCAAAAATCATCATTTGAGTTCATTCAGAATAAGTCTCAAATAGAAAGCTAGTAGTATGAGTCGGTAGAACAAGAGCCAGAAAAGACCCATATCATTCGGCATGCTGCCTGAAGGAACATTCAATCTAGCCCCATCACGCGAATTTCCGTTCCCAGGACCGACTTAATGTCTTCAAATAGGTCGAGAATATGAGTAAAGTACCCGGTTTGGCCCTGCCCGTCACCCCCAAAAGCCACGCCCCAAACCTCGCCCTGGCTATCGCAAACAAGGGCTCCAGAATCCCCGGGGGCGATCACGGATTTGCTGGTTTCGCGACTGATAAAACTTTGCTCATGCGTTACGATGATCTCGCCAGCCGCATCTCTCGCTACGTTGGCAAACAGAAGATTGTTGTGCACCCCCTGCGTGAACCCTGTGGTATGACCGAGTTTGTATAGCCGGTGCTCGTATGGTGGAGAAGCAACAGTGGCAAGCGTGGTGAAACGGTGCGACTCAATTTTCAAGTCCGATGACTACAGAGAAGTGTTAGCACAAGAGGGCTTAGAGACTGGGATCAAGGATTCGGAGATAGCCTACCGTGTTATGACCTGTAGCGCGGCCCACAAGGCGGATAAGGGCCCAATCCATAATCGAGGGGCGTGTCGACTCCGGATTTTTGAGCTTGATGGTATTGAGTCGCTTGTTTCGCAGGCCCGAACCGGCAAACACCTGTCCCAAGCGAAACTTTCCATTCTTTCGGTCAGTCTCCAACCGGTCTATCTTCGATTGAATATCCTTCATCTCTTGTTTCACCCGTCTCCACGTACGCTCTTCCAACGAATTGTAGCCCACTTTATTTTCCTGGTCTAGCTCGACCGCCTGGTAGACAGGGTTTCTCTGGCGCTCCTCTAAGTCCTTCCTCAAATCCTGGATCTTTTCATTGACTTCGCTGATGGAGGGGCTGTCTACCCATAGTAGAGCTTTATCGTCGTTGAATCCAACGCCATGTTGGCGAAAGCGATCATAAACTAAAAGCTAAGTGTCACAAAAAACCTCTTTTTCTTTCAGAGGCATATTTACTTACCGAGTTTATCCGCAGCTGGGATTTTCTGATCAGGTACCGGGAGAACACAGTGCATGCACGTCAAGACCATGGGCAGCCACTGTTTGTTTTTGGGGTTCTGTACTTCTACATAAGCACCAACAGTCGAACGGCGCTCCGCTTCGTTGCTCAAAGCCAGGCTCATACCGATCCTGGCAGCTCCAGTTTCAGTCATGCGGCTCATTGCTGGGCCCGCGTACGCCTCTAGCATAAGCTGCGAGGTGTTTTTCTGGACCAGCACGCCGACCTGCGTAAGGCCAAAAGTTTTCAGAATATCCACAATATTCTCTCGGGCGTGTGTCCAATTGCGGGTCTCCTTGTGATCGACACCCAGGATCACCATTGGACACATCGAATTTCGCGACATTCCGATCCGGTGGCAACTGATGGTGTTTATGCCACGCAGAGAGACCTTGTGTTCGATTGTGTTCAGGACCTCATTCCACCTATGAAAAATCGCGTCCGAAGGAGTGCAGGGGGCGATGGAGAGGGGGTTGAAAAACCGAGGATCGAGCATCTCTACTGCTATGTTGTTGACGCCCTGCTGGTGCAAGTACTCACGGACCTTGCGAGCGAATCCAATCCATGGTTGACCAAGATGCTGCTTAGTGGCCAGAAGCTTGCAGGTGAACTTGGACGCACTGCTGCTATCGTGCATTGAGCTGCGGAAACAAAACTGGATCTCTTCGATCCTGATGCCTTCCCGGCGACCCAGGTTGATGATTCCATCCATCAAGGAGGCCTGCGCATTATCTGGAATGGGTGAGCGTCCAGACTTGGGGAACGATGTGTGGCAGGGAGGCTCTGGTAGGTAGGGGCCTCCAGCACGTAAGTCTTCCTCGATGAACCCGTCCCACGCACGTGTACTACTGTCGCTCGAAGAACGACCTGTACGCCGCGATCGAACACTCTGTGAATCGCTAGAGCGTCGATATACAGGCGACGCGTATGTTATTTCTGTTTGTGTCGGCGGGAAGACCAGGGGATTCGCCACTAAAGCCATAATGACGACGCCTCGCTTTGGAATATGTTAGCAGTGTCACTCGAAAGATATTGAGATGGCATACCAAGGTATAAAGGTGGAAATAAGGAGGTGTGTGAGTCCCTGGATTGGAAAAAGTGGGGAAGGACGCGGGCTGCTAGACGGAATGAAGATTGTCAGGATCAGGAAAGTTGAGAAGAGGTCTGACTGGAGAGACTGGTAACAGATCCAAGAGAAGAGCATGGAAAAAATGAAAAGAGATGATCCGGTATCGAGAAAGGCGATACTATGTAAAACGTGTGGCAATGATATGGATTTGAAGCTGTGGTGTTTGAGTTGAAGTGTGTAAAAACAAGTGGTGGATGGAGAGATAGTGGAGGAAGAGATGAGGAGAGAAGAGGGGAAGAGGGAAAATAACTCTGGTGCCTAAGATTTGTTCTTGTGAGTCACAGCTGGCGTGATGTAGTGAATGTGTTCCAAATTCACTATACATCCATCATTGTGAAGTAGGGTCCCAGGAACTCTCAAGGAATGATGTCATAAAGGGATTGTATCCATTCACTACCAAGACTATGAGGAACAAGATATAGTCATATCGACATATATTTTCTGCGAGTCGGCGTCTGGTTTTCTGATTATCACCTGTTCAGCAGTCTCAAAATTCGGAAGAGACTCTAACCAGCTCCGGATGGCTTTTTGACCGACTGCAGGGTCGGATAAGATTTGATAGTTCCGCCTTCAACCTTGACCAGTATTGGACTATTTAGTCGTTCTCTTATTGCGACATAGGGTGTGTTTGATGCAGAAAGTGGTTCGATCAGAAACCTCGGAGCTGATACCTTAGTATATAAACACCAAAGCTACCCCGTACACCCGGCATCAAACAACCCCAGTCTGTCGTCGTTGCAAGCCCTAAGTCCCCGGGAGCCGGAGCCACCGTGCGCGCCGCGACCCACCACGAAGTCGCCGCGGAGTGCGATATCATTATCATCACAGCGGGATTAAAGTATACCATTGGTATGTGTCCTACTGAACCTTAGCCTATCTTACAAAAGAGAAGAAGATTGAACACGTAAATAACTTCATGTTTTGAGTATCAAGGAGAATCAAGGAGAAACAAGCATGCAGCACCTCTACCGCAAACTGTCGATCGTGCGGAGCATCGTCGCGGCCATGAAGCCCATCCGTCGAGACGCGGTGCTGTTGATGGTATCGAGCCCAGTGGATCTGTTGACCTCTCTCATGAGGGAGATGGCGGGCCTACCGGCGGGACAGGTGCTGGGGACGGGGACGGAGCTTGATGGCGTGCGGTTGCGGGCGTTGGTTGCGGCGGAGATGGGGGTATGTCTTCCTCCTCGACCACTGTCATTAGCAGCAGCAGCAGTAACACTGCCGACGACAACTATACTCAATGCAAACTGACACTTAAGCTTACACAGACCCCCGCATCCACCATCAACAACCTCAACGTCCTAGGCGTCCACGGCCCCTCTCAGCTCGCGACCTGGTCAAACGCCGCCATCAACGACCAACTCCTCCAGCAGACCCTGCTCAGCAACCAGCAGCCCAACGCTTCTGGCCGAAGAGTGCAAGCGGCGGTCCGAGGCCATCATCCGCACCAAGAGGTCGACCGAGTACGGCATCGCGGCGGTGATCGCGCGGCTCTGCGCAGCCATTCTAGCAGATGAGCAGAGCGTTCACGCGGTGAGTCATTTCCAGGCGGAGTTCGGTTGCTGTTTTAGTTTGCCGGCGGTAGTGGGGAGGGAAGGGGTCGTGCGGGCGGTGGCGGTGGAACTGACGGAAGCGGAGAGGGCGGACATGGAGAGGAGCGTGAGGCTGTTGAAGGGGCGATTTGGGCTCGTGGAGGGGGATGGTGTTGTCTGATTCTCGGGAGGTAGTGAGGGGTGGGTTGCTTGGGTTTGGTGAGTTTTCCTTGGGGTGGTTGGTGTGGTGGTTTGTGTAGGATGGTATTTGTAGCACATCTTACTTCTGTTGGGCAGTTACAGCTTATTCTTTCTACGCCACAATGGTGCCGAGAATAAAAGGGGAGAGGCGGAGGAGTAGGTGGTGGTGGTGGTGATGTAGTTCATCCTCAGACAAAAGGGGAGGATAGGGCTAATTCGAACTCCATCGCGTCCATTCTTCACAGAGCAGCAGCAAGGCGGGTGGTGTTGAGCGTAAGCTAGAGACAAGCGGTTCTCTCCAGCCAGTACGTTTCTCAGAACCAAACGCTTCAGTAGTTCGGGCTCAAACGATTCGATGGTTCAACGGAAAGAACTTCAGTTCCCTACCACTGACCAGCCCGGTAGCATTAAGCGGAGGCCCGGGGGTTAGGGCTGACTTCCTGTGGTTAGTCTCGGCCGACACTTCGCACCAGAACCAGATCTACTACGATGGCTAGTATCCAGGGAATCCTGGTTGACGGATCTGCGGGGAAGCCACCAATGACTCGTGTCGCATCATACCACCAAGACGTCATTCGGGGTAACTTTAGAAGGAAGACTGTGGTTTGTCCAACATCCACCCAAACTCAATACCTAGTATGCGTCTCGGAGCCGAGTACCGGCTCCATCGTCTACCAGTCTAGAAGGATCCAAACCAAATCGACCACACCTGTCACAGAGCTTGTGTACTCTACAATACCTATCGACCTTCGATACTGGATCCGCTACTTCAGGAGCACCCTCGTTCAACACGTATCAGTATCAGTAAGGCTGGATGTGGTTGATCCGAATACGAGAGGGTCTTCTGGCTCCGGGTTCCAAGCTCCGAGATCCAAGCTCAAGCCCCGGGACTCATCAATATGCTTGATTCTCTTTGCCATGACTTCGTGAATTACCTGAACTATGGAATGCATCTGAAGAAACTTTTCAAAGAGTAAAAGTCCTACAAAGTTGAACTCACCTGCCTCGCAAGCGTAGCAATATCCTCGCCATTCAGCCGAAACGCCCTCTCCCGGGACAGACAAGAAGCCAGAAACAGCCAGCATGCCGCATTACCCACTGTAGTGAACCTCTCGGGCAGATCTTGCCTTGCACGTGAGGTCGCGCGCTGCCCAGTACTGTTCTCAGTGCTAAATAAGCCATACAAATGCTGAGCGACCGCGTCCGTCGTGTTCGCGCCATCCTCCACCAAGAACATCCGCTCCCTCAACTCCTCATGCGCGGTAAAGAAACTCCCCGCCGCCGCGGTGGTGACCACCGGCTTCTGCTTTTGCATCGCCCACAGCAGGACCTCCGGGATGCCTTGGCAGAGTGACAGTTGCACCACCACCCGAGCGTTTGAGAGTAAGGTATTCCACACCTGGTCTTGGGGGCTGATCTGCACGATGCAGATCCGCGATGCAAATCGCTTCATCTTGGACTGAACGTGGGAGAAGAGACGATCGTGGTGCGGAGAGCTCTGGGATCTTTGGGCGGGGTCATGGTGGCAGATCAGCAGCTTGGGAAGAGGGAGCTTAGGATTGTCCGTCCAGGCTATGGTGCAGAACGCCGCGTAGGCGTCTAAGAGAGCGAGGGTCCCGTCTCCGGGACGGAGTTGCGACAGGCTTAGGATGTATTGTTCTGTGTTGTTTATGTCCTGGTTAGCGCTGGTCACTCGCGAGAATTATTCAACATTGCGGCCTGTCTCGCCCTACCTCTCGGAAAGTGGACAACGGGAGTTCCGAAGGTTCTACTCAATGAATTGAGCTCCTGGCCGTAGAAGGTCATGTCGGCATCGGCCAAGGGCTTGTTCAAGCCATCGAGTCTACCGTAGAATATCAGAATAACTGTCTGGAAAGGAAAGTAGGCATAGAAAAGCAACAGGTATAGACACAGGCACAGGTACTGACTGATCTATCGAAGGCGACATATAGCCAACATTTGCTTCTGGCATAATACATGGTGCGAGTTCCCGGGGTAGGGTTGTGACCAAGGTGTCCACATGCTCCAGCTTGGTCTGCACAAACTGCCAGGCAATTGCCCGAGGAAGGGTGCACTGCTGCCGCAGCACATCCGGTGGAGCGTGTAATCGGTTCTCAAACACGACGGGTCGATGGGGATCATGCTGCTTCGCCAGGTGAGCCAGGGTCAACAACGGGGCGCTGTCGATCACGACTACATCCGCCCCGCCCTGTTGACGCGACCGCAGGGGACCATGCTCTTCAACCCAGTACCGTCGCGCATTTTCAAAGGCGAATTCCATGATTTGAAGCTGGTCGTCGGTGTCCAAGCAGACATCTGGCCCTGCTAGGCCCTCCATGAGGTCTTCCATTTTTCGGATCAATTGGAAGATGTTTGGCCGCGGCTTTGGGACATACCTGCACCCATCCGTGACTCTAGAGTCTTAATTCCAATCGAGATTGGGTATACTCACCACCGGATGTCCATCCCCAATATATGACCCAGCCGCAACAATGCATGTCGAGTATGCACAACGGGCTTGCCTTGGCATGTCATACTGAAGAATGCAATCTTCACCTTTCTCTCGACCAGGTCCTTGGCCAGTCCCTGAATCAGTGCCCACAGCTCCGGGCTCACCGTCCGCTGATAACCCTCCGCCTCGGCAAAACGTATGCAGAAGCTCCTATCGACGTCCACCATTCCATTAAAATGAATTTGGTTGTGAATCAGATGCCCAACGCCAAACGACCTGTGCCAGTCGTTCATATCGTTAGTACTTGGTTGGCATTTCTTGGTTCAGCGCAACGCAAAGGACATACCTCAAACACTTCCTAGCCATGGAATCGGCCTGTTCATCCGCGGTCTTCTCCTTCCAACTCGCGAAGATCGACAAACTCCCCTTCTCGTCTGGCTGTCGGGGATGGTCCTTGTACTTCAATACCAATGGTAGAGTATCCAGGTCGTGCCAGAGCCGGGAGCACAATCCGGGGCATTTCTGCACCAGACCTTCGGGGAGGCCGACCGCGACGAATTTCTCCTCGTGCTTCTCGCCGTACCTGCGTAGATGGGATAGTAGCTCACTGATCGCGTGGCATGGTATCTGAGTGTCTTCCACAGCGTTGGGGAAATGGTGGGTAAAAAAGTCAATCAGCTGCGTCGCGTTGCGAATGGCGACGGCGACGGTCAATCTCCCTTGCTCATCGGTCGCTGGTTCTGAGAGTCCGGCGTAGATCAGCTGCTGATAGTATCCAACAGTCAGCGCAGTTGTGTGGATGTGTGGATGTGTTGAGATGATAAATGTCATACATACTTGTGCAGGTAGTCCGCACCAGGAACTCCTTGTCGAAGTCGGATCCTCATTGGAACTAGAATCGTCTGGCTGCATCGTATCGTGTATAGTTAGCTATCAAGACACAGCGGAACATCAGAGGTCTGGATGATGATAGAGTCGAGCTCGGGAATCGCAACGACCAAAAGACCAGGCTCTAGTTGTATGACTTGGTGAGCCACAAATACCGCTGATACCCGGGGTTTCAGACCCCGTCAAAAGTCGGTTCCGGCGATACGAACCGCAACAAAGAAGGTCCCTGCCTATGATATAATGCATCTCGCAGCTTTCACTTCTCCAACATGCAAAAGTCTGGCTCCACTCAGTTCTGTCAAACTTAATGTCAGCATCAGCCCACTCACCCTGTACAATCCAGTACCAGGCAGGCCTCGTAGGCAAAACTGTATGGTTGCACAACCCAACCTCGGAACAGGTCAGCATATGATTCATGCTTGTGGCGAGAATCGTAAGACTATCAGCAGATTTCAGGGGATGTCAAGCGAATGAGCAGGACCATCGCTCGGTCATCGACATAAATAGACAAGAGCGGCTTGTACTCTACGACAGAATTATGGCATCACCACATCTGTCATCAAATTCTACATTCTGACCATGGAGCACAATTCCGACCTCTGCAGGCAGGACCCAAGCAACATCCAGGCATGGCTGGTCGGTCATGGACTGGCCTCCCTGGTCGCAGCAGTCTACCTTATCAGGAAAGGGGGCATTCCCGGTGCCCATATCCATATTTTCGATCTCCACTCCGACGTGGGAGGTGAGATGATTGTTTCTGGAAATGCAGAAGACGGCTATTCGCTTCCCTTCTACAGCCTTCCCTACCTTCACGGGGAGTGTGTGAAGGAGCTCCTCGATCTGGTGCCGGATGTCCAGCATGATGGTAAATCGCTGGCGGATGATGTGCGTGAGTTTCGATGTCAACTGCCCCACAGAGGACTACCGCATCCTGTTCCGCGAGCCGTGAGCTTGGATTCCTCGGGCACCGAAGCGGTGTTTACGAAAGGCATTCAGCTAGGTCTGAAGGATCGGATGGAGCTGGTTAAGTTCATCGTGAATCCGGAACGAGCGCTGCACGCCAAAAGAATCGATCAAGTCTTCGAGAAACCATTCTTTGACACAGGGTTCTGGTCTCTATGGTCCACCACGTAAGCATCCTTTTGCGGGTTTAGAACAGACATAGCTGGTCATGCATAGCTACTAACTCCTCACTCAGATTCGCATTCCAGCCGTGGCACAGCGCAGTCGAATTCCGCCGCCATCTTCGGAAATACCTCGAAGACATCCAGACTCTGAACGATGTCGATAAATCCATTCACACGCGATTCAACCTCTTCGAATCGATCGTCCTTCCCATCACCCGGTACCTGAAGAACGAGAAAGTGGATTTCCGCTACCACGCCGAAGTCAAAGATATCAAGTTCTATCCCGACAGCGACCCAACCACGGTCTCCGAGATCAC